CGGCACCTGGTCACGTCTAGTCATACATAACTAAATAAAAATGTATCATTTGGTTCTATTGGTTGTCGTTTTCGCTTGACCCTCAACATTTATTGTCATACATACCTAAATAACGACCCTCAACATTTATTGTCATACATACCTAAATAAAAATGTATCATTTGGTTCTTTTGGTTAACTAACGTTTTCGTTTGGCCCTCAAAATTTATTGTCATTTATTATTTGAGTTGAAAATATGGAGCAAGAACATTTGCTAAGTAACTAATGTGACTAAGAAAGCTATTTTCCATATTTATCATAGTTTTTTGACCCGGTCCGCCCTGGTGCGTCGATTTGGGACCCGGTCGACCCAAAGCCGGAACGGTATGGACTATTTAGACCGGGCAACAAAGGACCCGGTCAAACCCGGTCAAAACTCGGCCAACTCGACCTTGACCCGGCCGGGTCAATCCGGTTAACCCGACCCATGTATATTTTTTTAAATGTTTTATTTTTTTTTATTTTTTTCAAAATAAAACTATGTATATATGTGTTTATATAGTAAATATTATCATGAGATTCATATAATTAACACTCTAATGTACAAATTTTATACCCAAAATATTTAATTTGTTACATTTGTGTTTCTTTATATGACAAAAATACTCTATATATAATTTTAAAATTTTATAATTAATTATCCAGTTTAGCAATTGGCCTGATGACCCGACGGTTGAACTGGTGACGTGATGACCCACAGACCTGCCCGGGTCAATTACCGGGCCGAGTTTAAAAACTATGATATTGATTGTCATTGAAAAATGAAAAAGAAAAAATTACAAATGTACTACTCTCAAGTCTTATCCAATGATGGTAGTTTCATTTACATGTATCTTCAGTACTATCAAAAAATTCATAAATTTCTCAATGTCTTGTTTTTGTTTGCCTAAGTCTATTTGTAAGGTGATCTCTGGGTTGTGTTCTTCCTTTTGGTGGAGTAAAGGGAAAGATCTGAACACTGGTATGGCTTGGAGGGCTTGGAAACTTTTATCCTTGCCTAAAGAAGATGGAGGTTTGGGGTTCAAAGATCTTATCCTCTTTAATGATTCTCTTATCCTGAAACAAATTTGGAGAATCATCACTAAATCAAATCTCCTTGTGAGCAGACAGTTTTGCTATGGAGCCATCGGATGGCTCGGCTTATGGAGCAATCTATACTTAATCACCAATAGTGCATTAACACGTGTCCTACAATAAATACAATTTAGACAGGTGTCACTATATTAAGTGATGGATGGCTCCATAAGAAAACAATCCGATGGCTCCATAGAATTTTTGTGTGAGCAGAATCCTTAAAGCAAAGTATTTCCCCAACTCTTCTATTTTAAAAGTGGCTAAGGCTTCTACTTCCTCCTGGCTTTGGTCTAATTGGTTAAATGTGAGGGACAAATATAAAGAACTTTTTAGACTGGAGATTAAGGATGGAGTGTCTGTTAAAATTTGGGAAGATCCTTGGATCCCGTCTACCAAAACAGGGATTCCTTCTCTTAAACCAAGAGCCAGTACAGGTTTCGTCTGGGTTTGGCAACTGATGGAGGAGGGGGGAAGGAGATGGAATAATGAGGTGTTGAGTGAGCTGTTCAGTGATCAGGAGATTCAAGCCATCAAAAGTGTCCACACTCTTGATCCCTTACTGAAAGATAGATGGAAATGGGCTCTGGATGTGAAAGGGGTGTTCTCTGTAGGAGGGACATACTCTAAGCTAATTAGTAAGAAGATCTTGATCTTGGATTTGGCAGAGTGCAGTACAGCAGCCTTGCAGGATAAGAAAGTTAGGAAGAGAAGTTGGTCCTTAGGAGTAAAAAGCAAATTGAAACATTTTCTCTGGAAGTGTTACAGTAGCTCTCTACCCACAAGTTTGAATTTGAAATCAAGAGGGGTGAATGTGGATCCAGTTTGTAGTTAAAAAAAAAAAAAACTACCAGCTCAAATTCCACGCATAGTCTCCTTACAAGTTTCACTCATTACATGTCTTTACCTTCCCACTCCAAAAGAATGAGACCAAGAGATCGACACTGAACTGCACAAAATCTCCTTATCTTTCATCTTCTCTAAAATGCACCTACCCTCATCATCTTCGTCCGGTTCATCAATCTCAGCCTCCTCCGCAAAGAATTTCACAACTTGTCTCATTGTTGGCCGTACACTCGAATCCGGATGCGCACACAGTAGCCCTAGTTGAAGCATTTGTTCCGCTTTTTCTTCATCAATTTCACCCTTATTAGCCCTTAATCTTGGATCGACCCCACTAATCAATTCCCCTCTCCTCAAGAGTTCCAACAACCAATTCACCAACAATGGTTTGCCCTCTTCGATTGGCCTCCTACCACAGATCACCTCCAAAATCAACACTCCGTAACTAAAAACATCCGTTAGAGTCGATACTTTCCCACTTCTCACGACTTCCGGCGCTAAGTACCCGATTGTACCCACCACGCGGGTAGGATCATCACCCACCTTATCATGATTATGGATCAGGGCCAGCCCGAAATCACCTAGTCTTGCATTCATTTGCTTATCGAGCAAAACGTTAGAAGCCTTTATATCCCTATGTAGAACCTCGGATTCCCATTCATGATGCAAATACGAAATTCCCGAAGCTATTTGCTTCAAAATTCTTATTCTTTCTTCGAAACTCAAGATTTTTCCATCATGGCACTCGAACACCCTCTTGTCCAGACTCCCGTTTTCCATATAGTCATACAGCACAAAAAGTCCTCCTCCTTTCTCCTTCTTGCACCAACCTCTCAATCTCACTATGTTCCGGTGCTTTAATCTCCCGACGCTCGATATTTCTGCCAAAAATGTTTCACATGATAAACGCTTCACTGCAAACTCCAAACCGTTCGGAAATGTCCCTTTGTACACTTTCCCGTTCCCACCATCACCACTGATCAAATTTCTATCCGAAAAATTGTTTGTGGCTGACTCAATCGTTCGATAACCGAACCTATGAGGCCAATATTCCAATTCCCATTGCTCAATTTCCTCATTTTTTGCCTTTTGCATTCTGAAATCCCTTCTTCTCAACCAGCAAACAAAAACACAACAAAATATGACAGAAAACATAACACCCATTATCATACCAGCTATAAAACCCGAGGATCGAGTCACTGGGGGGGTGGTTCGATCCTCGAAATTCGGCAAGCCCCGAGTAACCAAGCCCTCGCCGAGCGAGAAATTCGTGTTGCTAAAACTCCAGGCCAAGATGAGGTGACTTTGAGTCAAAGCGCCAGTAGCTGCAGCAAAACCCACATACATCTCGTCCTCCAAAACATCGGAAAGATTCAGAGGGAAGCTAAGCAATGGGCGATTAGGCCTTTTCAACCCAGCGGGCGCCATGGTCACATTCACAACGCCGTACACATAATCGATCCAGACTTGATAATTTCTGCCGTTATTAAGCTTTAATTTCTTGAATTGCCTGCCCTTATCGGGCCAAAAGCCCGCTTCATAAGCCCTCACCGACTCCAGCGAGTTCACATCGACGCCCACGTGGTTGCCGTTGATGTCGCCGAACTCCTCGTTCTGGAAAACGTCGAACTCGACGCCGAACACGTGGCTCCTGGGGTCGCCGTTGCTTGTCCGGTTGAACAGGCCGAGGTGCTGGGCGGAGGCGGATTCCAGGATCCCGGGGGTCGGGACGAAGACGAACAGTATGCCGTGGCCCGGGAGCGCGCCGCGGTAGGGCGCCATGGAGAAGATGAAGGAGGTGGAGAAGGGGAGGACGGCCGAGGAATTTGGGCGTTTTGTGGGGATCTTGGAAGGGTAGATGGCGCGGCCGAGGGAGAAAGGGAGGCGATTGGTGAGGGAGATGACGCGGGACGGGTTCGTGGTGTCGCCGTAGCGGGATAAGTCGGAGGGGCCGAAGCCGTTAAAGAGGAAGTCGACGGCGGCGGTGGGGAGTAGGATTGTGGATAGGGAGAGAAGGAGGAGGAGGAGCTGGCTGAGGTGTTCGTTCATGGCGGTGGAGGGGAATGAAGAATCGAATGGCCGATGAATGTGCTGGTGTGTAGGCCAACTGGGTAATTAAAAGCAACACAGAGTGGTTGCATCCACCGTCTGCAAGACAATTGAGTCAAAGAAGAAGGAAGGTCCCACATTAATTAATTATTTATCTTTTTTTTTTTTTT